TCAATGAGCCTTCCTTATAAGGAGACAGGAATGAGAATTTGACTGAAACCATGCCACTGTAAAATTGTTTCAAAAAGGGAGGTTTACTGTAGAGAAATCTATATCATATCAAATAACATACTGCTGAAAGAGCAGAAGAAATCATGCAGCATTAAACCACCTTGCCAACAACACAATGAGATACAAGTATGTACATAGGTCGCTCTGGAAGTAATGCTTCTATTTATTCCCATGGAAACTACAGCAGCTACAAAGAACACAATAACGCTATTTGATAGAGTAAATTTTAAGCTACAAAATGCTCTTTTTCAACACAGTCACTACAATTAGCTGTGCATTTTCACCAGCCATGAACAAGAGCCTGCATGCTGTGCTCATAAAAAAATGCACAGCCATTTGGAACATGGCCTGTCTTTCATGTTATTGCCACCACTGCTGAAACGCACCACCCACCACCTCATTGCTTACACTATTTGGTCTCCATGAACTTTCAGCAAGCATCTCGTTGAATGTCAATGAATGCCATTTTTTCAACAAGGAGGAATTCAGTTCCACACCCCCATTTCATACACACTTCCATGCCAGATGTCATTTTGTCAGACTCTCTGCTGCCATCTGTCACACAGCAACAAAATGTAATGGAATACTGGTGGAAAGGTTCGGCCCCTACTGCCATACCACCAACATCACATTAAGTTGTGGGCCAACATCATAAAATAGGATGCATTACTTTTGGAGCAACCCTCATAAATTAGGTAAACACAGCAAGACTGCTCTGCAATTTATTTATTAAATGAACTTTGCTACACTTCATTACTATAAAGCCACAGCATCCTTATGAGTGGAAAATGCCAGGAATTCAAAATTGAGATTGTATGCAACCAAACAATAGTATATAGGGAATAAACATATTTCTATGAGTAACTTACCACAGGCCCAAGAACTCACGAAAAATGTCAGTTCACCCCTTTCTGAAGCAGTATTCTGACCTCTTGTATTATAGTCATGCTTAATCCTGGCTTTTAAAGATTTGCTGGAACATAACATTCCCGCACTACAAGATGTGATGATACATTTCAGTGTCACTACTCATTCAGGAAATACCAAAACATTTCAGTGGAAGAAAAAGAGAATTCTAAAAATGTTCTTAAGCAACATTATACAACGTCTGTTCACAGGCTGGAAAAAAAATTGCTAGTTGTTATAATTAAATTCTTATTTTCATTGCATTTGTGTTCTTCATGTGATGGTAGAAAAACATTTAAAATACGTAAGGAAAACCTCTACCAACAATTTTAAGTCTAAGGTACAAATCAAATCACATGATCTAAAGACTGACAAAAGAAGCATTTGAAACTAGCCCACCAAAACAATCTAAAGGAATACATTATCTGTTCCTTGATTGCTCTGGTAGTTCCATACTTGTAAGCCTTATCTAGAAGGAAAAAACTAATTCACAAAGAATAATATGTTTTCTAAACTACAGTTGTATCAAACCATAGATATTATCAGTACACATGCCTGGGGCTCAGCTCTCAAGTAATGTCTTAGAATGTAAGTAAACAGGATCATTAAATTTTTAAGAGCTTATTGCCATTGAAAGGGTTCTGCAGTTCCCAACCCCATTCCTACACACATATTCCCACTCCTTCCATTGCAGTAGATTTATTATTTGCGTAGAACTTCAGTGAGCCAGTTCTACTAAACTCTACTAAACTGCATGCAACAGCAGGGTTAGACTCAGCAGCAACAAACAGCAGAGGGAGGGAGGGAGGGAGGGAGAGAGAGCGCATGCCCCTTTCAACGAAGAGGGGTTGTTAAATCACATTGGCTGTACTGCCCTCTTTATTCCCCAAAGACACAGCTATAAACAGAAAATTACACACAAATATTTGACAAATTTGGACTTTCAGTGCTTTGACTCCTCAGTGCTAGAAATCTCCCCATGCAGCACCTGCCATTCATCTACAGTTCTGTGTGCACTGTTCTTTGTGTTCCTGTAAGTAAAATACTTTCAGTACTTGGCTTATGATCACAGAACACCCAAGTTGGAAGGGGTCAGTGAAGATCATCGAGACTGACTCCTTGGTTCTTTTCTTTTTGCACAAATCCTTGTACAAAACAACCAGGCTTGTCCTGAAACAACTTAAATCTCAAACCTGCATGCTGTGCTGTATTTGTTGCCTAAGGATAGTTTCTAAAATAAAGAGTTCTGAACTCAATATCTCTATAGTTTTGAACTTTTCAGACACGCTATGTACTTCACCTACTCTTGTATGTAACCTATTGAAATGGGATCCGGAAGCTGATCTGGATATTTCTGTAAGAAAAATACCTTAAAATAAACCTCTTAATGCATAAATTAAAATGACACCTGCCCCAAACTTTCCGTAAATGATTAAAAAAATGATCTATTTCTACTTACTTGATATGCAGCCATAAAATACTGCTACTATATCAATCGACCAAAATTATTTCCCCTCACCTTTTATGTCAAAGGAAATGGTAAAATTTCAGATATTTGGCATTTTTTCCTACATTGTTTTCTAACTTTGGTAGAAATGCAGCATCCCCTAGTGTTCATTTATTTCACTGAAAAAAAAAAAAAAGTACGTTCAAATAATCACAAATGTAGAAAATGCAATTCAAAATTTTTTTTGTAATAGCACTCAGTATTCAATTCAAGATTTTGGCAAAAATACTTCATTGGTTTTCCTGATAATCACATAAAGTCTGTGGGTAAAGTTTCCTCATGCAACAGAGATACCAATTGTTCTGAAGCAGCATGAAGTGAGGTAGAGCATGTTAAAACCCATCATGGTAACAAAACCAAGACCAAGGCAGACTCATCCTACACTGACTTGCCTGATTCTTCCATCAGCAGTGGCTGCTCTGAGCCTCCAAAACAAACCTGGTAGCTATGTTCAGTTGTTTCTTAGTGAGGTAAGCATAGAACAATCTGTCCTGCACTGTGATGGAAGACAAGAACTTGCATACATCTCTTTACTCTAGGGCATACTCTTCTGCTGGCCACATCAAGTATTTGAAATCAGGGCTAAATCTCATTCCATACATGTTTTTGCCATGTAAGCTATAGTTAAATATCCAGTCCTATGTAAACAAATCTTTATTGATGCCTCTTTGATTTCATTAGAAATATTTCTTCCCAGCATTAATGTCTCCCTGGCTGTTGTACAGAGCAGAGCAAATGATTAAGCTGGGATACGCCAATTTCATAATTTTTATGGGGAAAAAATAAATCAACAGCACTTAAATAAGAAAGTTAAGATTATACTGCTCAGTTTTGCTCTCTGACACAGTGACAGTGGCAAGATAATTGGTTTTGGACAAACTGTAAAGAACATAAAGCGTTTTTTTTCTTTCCTGTTTCTTTTGCAGTTTGGGTTATACAAACTTTGTTTACAAGAACTTTAATTCCATGTAGTTTCTACATCCTAATTCAGGGTTTTAATTTAATACTTAAACCCCTAAATTTTCTTCAAAACTTTGTGGTTCATTGCACTTCAGAAATGAAAAGGATCAACAATGGATTAAATCTTTATTTTTAACCTATTTTAGGATACTTGCTGCTAGGTGATTCCAAGCAATACCAATGTAAGATGTTGACGCACTACTTCATAGACATTAGCTCAGCAGATTTGCAAGAAAACAATATATTTTTATAAACATCAATTTGGTGAGAACAATCTTTAGAAATCTAGAAAAAATGAGTGCTTTTCCAACCAGACAAAAAAAAAATCTGACTGAAAAAAAGGGTTTAATTTAAATTTCAATTATTTCTAGTCATTAGTTTTTCCTTGACAGACTACTTAACTTATCAATGTATTAATGAAATATTAGTCTTTGCATTGTAGGGTCATCTATTGAAATGTCAGTTTAATAGCTTATTACATAAAACCCTAGGGTGAAATCCAGGTCCTATTATCTCTGGGATGCCACAGTTTCACCCAGAACATTCATCTGTTTTTATAATGCATGGAAATTACAGTCTTTCAAGGACAATAAAATCTGTTCTAAGCAAATTAAAAATTATTAATGTATCTAAGCCCTTCTTGTGTCTATTAAGTAGTGAACAGTAACAATTAATAGAAATGTTAAGCTGACAGAAATATTACAGGGAACCAGAAGTGTTTTTCCAATCAGCAGTTTCATATTTAGTTTTGATCAATCTGTTTTCTTGTATTACTGTTACTATTTTGCAATCCTCAATACCTTTTTATTCTGTCCATTTCATAAATGCTAAAGACATGGAAGGGAGAATAAAATACTTTCCCCTTGTAAATGACAAGGTAAATTTAGTGTTACTCAGACTTGAGTGATCTATTTGGAATATATAAGAGAAGGTACAAAAAAAGCATGCGCATTCTCTCTTCCTTTTGAGCATAAACATCCAAAAGCATACTGAAATTCTTTTTATGCTTCCTTATGAATCACAAGATGCATGAAAAAGACTTTAAAAAACACAAGCCTCTTCACTCCTTATTTAAACTGTATGCTACATTCAGGCCAAAATAACAAACTTAGATAACACTGGGTATCAGAAGTTAATGGGCTTGAGCGGGATCTGGAACAAAAGTAAGGTTTCAGTTTTAAGGACAGCTCTGTAAGCAAGTAAGATATGCTGTTTTTGCAGTGCTATTAGTACAGGAGTGTATAGGCATACATTCTGTACACATAAAAATCAAATTGCATAAAGACTGGAAAAAGGCTTATTTGGAAATAAAGCCAAAATTATTCTACAAACCTAACAATCAACATAACAAATCTTCTAACAAAGATTCATAAGCCAAGTTGGATGGTGCTTATCTTAGATACATGACAGATTTTACTTCCAAAATTTCTATTTAGGTCTTAATAGCAAGTAACACATGTTTTTGGTTCTGTTAAAAGCCCTGCAAGCTTTCAGGCCCTCAGTCTCCCAAAGGTAAACAGATATGACTACTAATAAATGATCATGATTTTCAAACTATGTTACTTACCCCATGACAATGAGTTTTTTCTTCACCAGATTTACTCAAACTCTGAATTAATCCATCTTGTTTAACTGAAGTATAAAATAAAGGAGTCATTCTCAGTTACTTCCAAGTAGGTAAGCAGATTTCAGGTTGATTTCTACAGTTCTGCAAAAGATACTGATTTCACTTTGCTTTCTAGATACTAGAAGAACAAATTAACAACCAAAGAGTTGAGTAAGTATTAAGCATTATGCAGTTGTTCTCAACCTTGCTGGCTAAACTTAATTTTCAGTTTCATTCCTTTACTATATAAAAAAAAGGGATATATTGACAGAAAAGTGGAAAGGTTAGCACAATAATGATTTCTTAGAAGGAGGCTAAGTTTTTCGTTTGTTTATTCATTTAGATGTTTGTTGGTTGTTTTTTTTTCCCCATTAAGAATATCTATGTTTGCTAAGCTCATTTATTTAAAGGATAGGACAATTAAAATGACCATGTGGGATGTAAGTTGTGTGTGTCCACGTATAATACAGAAGATGTGGAATCAAAGACGTTAAGAGAACTTGGGTCATTAAACCCAGGACTCAGAGCTTAAATAACAAAAACACATAACTATAAACTAAGCAGAGAAGTTAGTAGTCAGAAAAATAAATATATTGTCCTTATGCAGACCTATCTAGTTATCTCACATTCCAAATATTAAGTAACATAACTGCTGAGAAGATTCCTCAGAAAACTAACTGTAAGAAACATGGGGTTTTGCTTACCTTTCTTAAACATATGTACAGTGCTTTAGGAAACAGGGCTTACTCATTTGTCAGAGTTCAATCAATATCAAAAGTGCTGAAAATGTTATAATAGACAGAATTGATCACCTCACTATTTTAACATGACCCTGTCATCAAATACCAGAGAAGAAAAAGAAAGCTGTGCCAAAGGGTTAAAAAGTAAAACAGAAGTCTGCATCATGTCTTTATTCTTCCTGCCCCCAACACAATGTTTTACAGAAAAAAAAAAACATAGGTTCAAGGTTTTTGTCAATTGAAATAATTATTTTAGACAACAATTATCTCCTCTAAAGCATACAGCATATGTCTATGTAAAAAAAAAACTTAAGCTAATATGTAAGAAGTCACCGGCCAGCTCTTGAGGCACAAATAGTAGTTTAATATGACTGTAAATTATTGTATCTGATCGCCTCGTTAAGACTCATGGTCTAAATCTGCGTTAAAGTTCACTGTGCTAAAATAATGTAATTACTAGATTAATTACCAATTTTAAATTTGATTAACATATAAAAAAAAAATTTAAAATCTTACCTTCTCCTAAAGGAAAACATGCCTCTATGTAAGAGATTAAGTAATTGATGTTATCTGCTCCTAAATTGCTTTAGCTTTGCTTCAAAATAAAAATACAAACAATATTGCTTGTTTGGAGCTTCTGCAAGTATAAGAGCTGAAATTTATGCAATAAAACTATCTAAAATCTACTTGTGTCAAAGCTGTATGAAATAAGAGCTTTTAGAGCCCTACACATAAGGATCCTTAGGAAAAAAAAACCATATCCCTATGTAAGAAAAGCATTCGAATTAGCTTGCTCGCAAAACGAATGCTTAAGAAGGTATCAGTTTATTGTATCCTGGGCTATGAAAGCAGGGTGTAAGTCTGTGGTTTTGGGCTCTCAGGTCTACCGAGCGCTCCCTGCCCCTCTCTTTAGGGCATGGCAGGAGAAAAGAGAAGGCGCTGCTGGGAATCACGGCCACTTGTCAATCGGAGCTACAGCAAGCAGCAACGGAAAGCTACTCAAGTTTTAGTGAGCAGCATACCTTTTTCTTATAGATAAAATGATTTATTTTCTCCTGCCGTATTCCAGCAGATGACTCATCTCCGTGCTCGTAAGACCTCAGAGCGCCCCAAACCCACTCTCTATATAAAATCCTACTGATTCTAGAACTCGTGAGGAGAGCTGACGGCCCAGCGCGCCTCGCACACTTCCCAAGACCAGAACCGCCTCAAGCGCGGCCTCCACAGCACGAAGCCGCCTCAGCACTCACCGCGCCTCACGCACAGCCCGCGCTCGCTAACGGCGCTCAGCGGCGGGTTTCAGAGCGAGCCCCACCCACCGCGGCTGCGAGACCCCGCATCACTTACCGCAAACCCGCCTCCAGCCCCGCCTGCCCAACTGCCTGTGAAACACCCACCCCCTCCGAGCCCGCTCTTCCAGTCCGCCTAACGATTCGCTCCTGGTGCTGTCAATCATTTTGTTCTTCAGCTTGATTGGTTAAAGCTCGAAAAGGGGCGAACGTTGGGCTGGTTATGTTTACAGCGTGCAAGATGAAGCTGGCTGGGGAGGCGGGAAGAGGTGCCGTTTCTTTTAGCGGCGGCTCGGGTCTCCTCAGAAAAAATAGCAGCTCGGCCGTACTAAGCTACGAGTTTGTCATCCAGAACCATGCAGACGCCGCGTCCGGCCCGGCGCTGGGCCTCCCGTTGGGGCTCGTGTTCGAGGTACCGCGCGGCGCGCCCCGTTAGTTGAGTAAGGTTAGCAATCGTTCGGAACTACAAGTAGCGTCAAGTTCTGAGGGAAAATGACAGACTTCCAAATGCGGCACTGCAGGCATTGTATGCTAGTAAGCTAAAGAAAGCGTGTCCGAAACTTTTCGCTATTAAGTGAGCTGTTCGTGCTCAGTACTACGTTAAATGCAGGGTTTTCTTTCAGGGTGGCTTTCGTTTGTTCCTATTCTCGAGGCCATATGAAAAAGCTGTAAGTGTGCTGAAGTTAGAAATGACCACTATAATGCTGTAAGTGGAATTATAAGAATTTCTTTAAGGGAAACTCTTAAACATAAGACTGTGTATCTGTCTTGCATTAGTGCTGCTGAACGTTATAAGGTCTGTTGATGTGTGTAAGAAGATTCACTGATTATAGAGAACGGAAAAGAGGCAGTTAGAAATTCAAAGTTAACATATTAAATTTTTCTTTTTTTCCCTCTAAGAAATGTTATAATTTTCTGTGTGCCCAACTCTGCTCCTTTCTGACAACAGTGATGCTTGTCTTCTGAATAAATGTTTCTTTTAGTAAATACTTCTTTTTAAGCCTTTGGTGTCATTCCATAGAAGGTTTTATATGATTTCTTTCCTCCTCCTAGAGAAATTTACATCATCCTTGTACCCTTGGCTATCCTGCCACAAAATACCACTTAAGTGGGCTGCCATACTTGCAGCAGGGTGGAACGTTTGTTGCATTGTGTCCTATACTTTGTAGACAAACAGAAAAGCTAACCTGCTGGCTTCTAGCAAAGATGCTTATTGCCATCTTCTCCTAAAGAGCATTAAAAACAGCTTATTCGTAGGAAAGCTAACTTCTAAGCATTCCTTCAGAATGTTATTATGTTTGAGTGGATTCCACCAAAGGAAGTGTATGATTTGTCCCATTTTTGAAATGAGGTTGCAGTGAACATGTGGGGTTAACAAGAATTATGGTAATTAAGTAATTATGCAGAAGGTATTTTATGTACTTTGTTAAAGATGAAGTACAAGCTTCGCAGTTAAGAGTTGTAACCATACATCTGTTTATAGATGGCTCAAACTGCGAAGAGAACAGAAACAGCTCCAGATTCTGTATCAGCCTGCAGTCGTCTCCAGTCATAGAAGGCAGCACAGTGAAGTCAGAACTATTGACCACTTCAGTGTTGTCCTTTTGGCATAGACAATGATGGGGAAGAGGCATGCTCCCAAATTAAGGAGTTGCACAGTGCTGTCAAAATGCCCTTGTTCAACGAAGATAGTTGGCAGTGAGTTTTTCACACTCTCATTCTGTGGACACTTTAAGTTGGCATTGATGCACTGGCATCCCTACAGGTTTGGGGAAGAGTGGCTGGAAAGCTACCTGACAGAAAGGGACCTTGGTGTACTGATGGACAGTGGGCTGAATATGAGCCAGCATTGTGCCTGGGTGGCCAAGAAGGCCAATGGCATCCTGGCTTGTAACAGGAATGGTGTGATGAGCAGAACTAGGGAAGTCATCCTGCCCTGTACTCAGTACTGGTGAGGCCCCACCTTGAGTACTGTGTTCAGTTTTGGGCACCTCAGTATAGAAAGGACATTGAGATGCTGGAGCAGATCCAAAGAAGGGCAACAAGGCTTGTGAAGGACTTGGAGAATATGGCCTATGAGGAGAGATTGAAGGAACTGGGGCTGTTCAGTCTGGTGAAAAGGAGGCTGAGGGGAGACCTTATTGCTCTCTTCCAGTATCTGAAAAGTGCTTACAGCGAGAGTGGGGTTGGTCTCTTCTCACTGGTGACAGGATGAGGGGAAATGGCCTTAAGTTGTACCAGGGTAAGTTTAGGTTGGATATCAGGAAAAACTTCTTTACAGAAAGGGTTGTTAAGCATGGGAATAGGCTCCTCAGGGAAGTCACCATCCCTGGATGTGTTTAAAAACTGTTTGGATGTGGTGCTCAGGGATGTGATTTAGTGGAGGGCTGTTAGGGTAGTTTGGTTAGGTTGTGGATGGACTCGATGATCTTTAAGGTCTTTTACAACCTGTGATTCTGTGATGTACCTGTGTTACATTTTACTACTTTATCAGTTAGATCAGTACAAGTGTTTGTTCTTCAAGTTGTGCAAATTGGATAATTAAGTATTTTCAGTTAAACTAAGCAAACATATTTACCTCTTATCAGCTGTAGGGTCATACAGTAGTTCAGACTGCTAACAGTTCTACTGCCATAGCTAAGGGCTAGATATGCTGCAGTATGGGAATGGGCAGAAATTATCAGGAATGTGGGGATGGCTGAAAGTAATGAGTATTTTGTGTTTGTTTGTTTTTTTTTTTTTAAACTAGTTTTGCCACTGAAGAAAAATAATGTAAAGGTGTGCTGTTAGTTACTTTAGATTGGTTACTTTATATCTTAGAAAGTAGTTGATTTTTCTTGCTTGATTTACCAGATAAAAATTCATGAGCGAGTTCTATGATGATAGTTTGAATATTCCATTTGTTTATATGGACACTTAGCCAAGAAAGTGATGCTGTCTTGCAAGGTGAAACTTTCCATCTGAATTAATGCAGTCTCATAACTTTTGAAATAAATAAAACCCACTGACACTTCTAAACACTTTAAAATGTTGTTTAGTAGAACAATGAGTAATTTGATCCTTAGCTAAAAGGACATAATTCAAATCCTGACCCTATGTAGCAAGTGTTAAAGGAATTGCAACAAGGTGAATCTCCACATTTGTTAGAGATGAATAACAGTTCTGGGACCGCTTTGATATAGACTATCAAAGGGAGGACATTTATTGATGGCATAATTGTCTTGTTTGTTTGAAGAATCTGATACCTTTTTCTTGTTTCTTTTCAAATTTTCAGGCCACAGCAAAGAACATTGTCATCTTTATTACTGTGCAGTACAGTGTCACCTATGCTATTGGTGAGATTCAGTAAAATCTATTCTGCTTTTGTGTAATAGGAAAGCTTAACTATTTGAAAGTTACCTTTTTTCCCCTTCTCAGAACTTCACTTTTATAGTGCAAATACCTTACCAATTTTGGAGCAGCACTAGGTAAAAATCTCCTGTAGCAGAGACAAATGTAAAATCCATTTGTAGACACCAACTTGTTTCTGGTGTGACATCTTCATAGGGTTTGGTTTTGTATATAGCTGCATACAAATGCTGTAATCAGGGTATAGCTTCCTTTAGTATTAAAAGAAGGTTTGGTTGAGTTTTGGACCAGAAACTTCTGAGGTTTTGACTTGCAAATATGTTACTAGTGAGTATCTCTCTTGAGAAGTAGTGCAGGCAGGAATAGCATTTGATATGCAATTGCTTGTTCACTGTTAAAATATAAAATAAAATATTAATATGAATAATTTGAATATATATATATTTAAGTGTATGGACAGCTTCACTCCATACCTTTTGGACATTCTGGAAGTATTGTTCTGGCAGTACATGAAGCCAATATGCTGTCTGGCAAGTATAGAAGAATTTAACCTGAAAACTAAACAGTAATTGAGATGAAGGCAATGAAAGCTTGAGAACTCATCTTCTAGCACAAGACTGATTAATTTTAAGATAATGTTTGAAAGCAGCTAGAAATCTTATTACTTTTTCATCATGAGCTCATCAGTTAACACTCACCCTTAATACTTACTGCCTGTATGTGTGAGGGATTTTGAATCTATGTGACTTTTCATTCATAGGCTGCTTGGCAGAAGGGACTTTAGTTGCACGATTTCCTATCAGCTGTTGAAAGCTATGGTCAGGACTCCTTGATAAGCATGACTTATCGGTATGCTTGCATACAATTCCTATTCATTTATTGTGTGCCTTTGCCTTGGGTAAAGCTTTCTGTTGCATCTGTTTCCTGTGGTATGAAGATTTAAATTGTTTTAATAACAGATCTATGGGAAAAATGTAGGTACAGATTTGCAGTCCACTAATGAATAACTGAAACTTTTATGTTACTATCTATGCAATCTTAAATCTCATTAGGATTACTTGTCTGGGTGCTGTTTGCCCAACACAGACCTGGATGATGTGGAAATCTATAAATTTTCAGCTGAAGAAATGGAGATAGCATATTAAGAAAGGAAAAAATAATTAAGAATAAGCCAACAAAAAGGGAAGTGAACAGAGGTTGGTGACATAATAAATATTTACTGAAATTATATGTTTTTAAGTTCTTTCTAGTCTAAATGTTTTCATATAAGATATCTCGTCTTTCTGTGAAAGCACAAACGTATCTGTCTTCTGATATTACTCTTATGTATGTTTAGGCTTCCAACCTGAGCCATTCAATGATATGTAGAGAATATTTGCAACGTAATAGCTTCTTCAAAATTATGACATGTTCTTCTCTATTTGCTAACAGGGGGGCACACAGAACTAACCATATTTAGTGTTACCTTTGAGTGATCCTTGGGATTAGTGCTGTCACTGAGCTCTGTATGTATCTAAATATGAGAAATATTTCATGAAACTGATTTAATGTTTGGTTTTTTTTTTTTCTGTTTGAAATCTGTCTTTTATAATGCCTCAAAACTGTTTGATTTCTCTTCATGAGA